GCATGCTTTCATTGAGAAGAAAAAACTGCAGAATGTTAAGCAGGAGGTGCTCAAGGGAGGTGCAGCATGTTTAGGTGTTCTTCCACTGCGAGTTGCATTTCTTTTTTTAATTTATTTATTATTATTATATTTAAGTTGTAGGGTAATGGCATAAGTGCAGTGTTACACATTGTAGTACTTGTGCTGTTGATGTGCTGCACCATCAAACTCGTTCATCTTACATCAGGGTATTAACTTCCCAATGCAATCCTCCCTCTCCCACTCCCCATGATAGCCCCGGGGTGTGATGTTCGGCCCTTCCTGAGTCCAAGGTGATCTCGTTGTTTTTCAAGGGGTTCCCCACGCTTGAGTGAGAAACATGCAGGTGTTTGGTTTTCTGTTCTTGTGATAGTTTGTAAGAATGATGTTTCAGCTGCATCCATGTGCCCTACAAAGGACACAAACTCATCCTTTTTTATGGCTGATTAGTATTTCCATGTGGTATCATGTGCCTTTTCTATCCAGTCTGTCCTGATGCATTTGGGTTGATTCACGTCTTTGCTATTGTGAATAGTGCTGCAATAAATTACGTGTGCATGTTGTCTTTATAGCCGCATCAATTTAGTAATCCTTTGGGTATTATACCCCCAGTAATGGGATGTCTGGGTCTATGGTACATTACGTTTCTAGTCCTTGAGGAGATCGGCCATTCTGTTTCCTCATGGTTGAACTGTTTACATCCACCAACAGGTGCTAAAAGTGGTTCTATTCTCCACTCCTCTCCAAGCCACCTGTGTTTTCCTGCTTTTTAATTGATCGCCATTCTAACTGGTGTGGATGGATATTCTTGTGGTTTGTATTGTCTTGGCTGTGAATGAGATGCTTTTCGGTGTGTCTGTTGGCTTGTAGATGTCTCTTGAGAAATGGATCCTGCCTGATGGGGTTGTTTGTTTTTTTTGATGTTGAGTTTTTGGTTCTGGATATTAGCCTTTGTCAGATGAGTAGATTGCAAACTTTTTCCCATTCTGTAGGTTGCTGTTCCTCTGTGGTAGTTTCTTTGTGTGCGAAGCCTTTAGTTTAATGAGTCCATTGTCAATTTTGGCCTTTGCTGCCGTGCTTTTGGTGTTTAGACATGAAGTCCTTTGCCCCAGCTGGCTGAAAGGACTACCTAGTTTTCCTCTAGGATTTTTATGTATTAGGTCTACATTTAAGTTCTTAATCCATCTGAATTTATTTTATCTAAGGAGTAAGGAAAGGATCAGTTTCAGCTCTCTTATGTGCTAGCAATTTTCCAGCCCATTTTTAAATAGGGATCCTTTCCCCATTTTTTTCTCTCAGTTTGTCAAAGATGCATGGCTGTGATGTGTGTATATTTCTGAGGACTCTTTCTGTTCCATTGGTGTCATATCTCGTGTTTGGTCCAGGTACCATGCTGTTTTCGGTTGTCTGGTAGCCTGGGTATATTTGGAAGTCAGGTAGCGTGCTGCTCCAGCTTTGTGTCTTTTGCTCAGGATTGTCTTGGAGATGGGGCTCTTTTTTGGTTCCATTGAATTTAAGCAGTTTTTCAATTCTGTGAAGAAAACTCGTTGGGTTGATGGGGATGGCTTGAACTATTAAATTTACTTTTGGGCAGTATGGCATTTTCATAAGTAAGTCTTCCTATCCATAAGCATGGTATGTTCTTCCATTTGTTTGTGTCCTTCTTTTTTTCCACTGAAGCAGTGGTTTGTAGTTCTCTTGAAGAGTCCTTTAATCCTTGGTATGTTGGATTCCTAGGTATTTGATGCTCTTTGAGCAATAGTGAATGGGTTCTTCGCTGATTTTGGCTCTCTGTTTGTCTGTTACTGGCTGTATAGGAATGCTTGTGTTTTTGCACTTAATTTTGTCTATTCCTGAGACTTTGCTGAAGCTTGCTTATCAGCTTAAGGAGATTTTGGGCTGAGCAATGGGGTTTTGCTAAATATCAATCATGTCATGCTCTGCAAACGGGACAATTTGACTTTCTCTTTTGTATTGTAATCCCGTTGATTTCTTTTTCTTGCCTGATTGCCCTAGCCAGAACTTCCAACACTATGTTGAATAGGAGTGTGAAGAGGGCTTCCTGTCGGTATTGCCGCGTTTCGAAGGAACTCTTTGTCCAGGTTTTTGCCCTTCAGTATGATATTGGCTGTGGTTTGTCATACAATGCTCTCTATGGATTTTGAGGTGTTCCATGAATCGAATTTTATGGAGGCCTGCTTCTCGCCCTCGAGCGGCCGCCGCCCTGTTTTGTCAAAGCCTTTTCGCATCTATTGAGATTAATATGTGGTTCTTGCTTTGGTTGTTTAACTTTATATTACTAGCCAAAGATTATATTTATTTTTGTAGAGACAGGGTCTCACAATGTTGCTCAGGCTGGTTTCAAACTCTTGGGCTAAAGCTATCTTCCCACCTTGGCCTCCCAAAGCGTTGGGATTATAGGCGTGAGCCACCGCTCCTGACCAACCACATATCTTCTTGTTTCCTTTTGATCACAGCTGCTTCATATGCTTGAAACTGCTCAATAAAGCCCCAGAACAGATTCCCCTCTTAGCATCTCCACCCACTGGTCAATCCTCAAAGATTCCTTGAGTCCAATTTACCAGCTGCTTTATCCACCTGCAACCCCATTGCTGAGGGCTTTGGCAGATTCCTGTCCTTGTGTCCTGCCCTGCCTGCCAACTCCCAAGCAGTCCTCCCATCCAGCCTCTCCACCTTATGAAAATCCAGGCCAAGCCCATTTTTGGGCTGAATCACAAAATTCAGAAATTCCATATCAAGTCCCCACAGCACTGGTCAGCAGAGCAGAATGATGAAAACTGCTGTCTCTTGTCAGGAGGTTCCGATGGGACTTCCCAAAGTGTGTCACCTATTAGAACCGTTTCTCAGTGTCCCTCAGACATTTTCTGTTACCTTGCCAATGAATACTTCAATTTTTTTCCCAACTAGGGTGAGAAAAAAACAGTCGAATTTTCATTTCCTGTTTAACTTGTGATGAAAAAAAAGAGCCCTGGAAATTTAACTATGGATAAAAATAGCTTCGGTATCTTAAAGCCATTAAGTGAACATAAAAGGGCTCTTTGTGATCTCAGGGTGTCTGAAACCTGGCATCTGCCACCGTTCCTCTGTCCTCATCCAGAGGCAAGGCGTTCTGAACAAGGATTCCACGCTTAATGGCACCTTGAGAGTAAGTGCTCCCAGGTGCCCATCAAACCTGTCACTCCCAACAGCTGTTGCTAAGTGATGACTTGTCCCTCCACCCTCTGTTGCTCTTTGCATAAACAGGTCTGCAGAGTTGTGCCAGGAGAGTCTTCCAAGGCTGGGTGTGCTGTGCCCCCATCCATGCACACATCGAGTCACTCACCTGGCTTTGCTGTGCCCGTTCCAGCATTCCTCCTCATTGGACGTGCCTGCTGTCACGCTCTCGTCCTTGCAGATGGTGTAGGGTAACGCCGACCAGACCTTTTTAGAGAGCTTCAATTTCTCTTTTATGTCTGTGACCTGATCAAGAAACCAGGGAAAGCAAGTGAGTATTCTGCTCAGGCTTTGCCCATTTCTACTCAAGGACGTACACAGGCGAAGGTTATAGAACCTGTGATGTGACCAGCAGGAACTCTTTAACAGTTTTAAGAGAGAGACACCACACTGCAGGGTTTATTGCCCGGGAAAGCCTCCTTTCCTCTCCCTCAGTCCTCCTCTAGCCGATAGTTCTCAGGTAATTGGCTTTTTGTTTTCCATCTTTTCTGTCCTTCAATCCTTTGAATTAAAAACTTACGAAGCATCACGCCTGGCTTTGGGTCCCTCTCCTGCTGAGAGTCCCTATTGTGAACACCCCAAGTATAGTCTCTAGAATTCATTTGCTTGCATGTCAGACAACTGTACCAAAACTAATGCACCAAGAGATAAATACTTTTCCCAATGGACTCCTTGTTTCTGCAAAAAATAAATATTGCCACTAATTCAGCTGCTGGTACTTCTGCTCTAGTGCAAATGACAGGCCCTTAGAGCACACAAATGGGTGGTAAGCAATAAACCAAACCCTCTGAAAAATCTCTAGAACTGAAAGAGAAGTCATTCTAAATATGGGTAACTGTAAAATTCACAGCCCTGTGGATGGATGGCCGGGAAAAGCTTAGTGCCAGCATCTTAAGTGTCTTCAGCCTGAACACTGACTTTTCACTTGCAGAAAGGGTAGAGAGAGGAATTTAATTTCATTTTGGCTTCATAATGAACATTGGGAAAGTCCAGAGATGGCTAGAATGCATCTGTTATGAATTGAATTCTTTTCCTCCCTTTAACATGTTAAGTTCCTAACCCTTGGTACCGCAGAATGTGACTTTAGTTTGAGATAGGGTCATTACAGAGATAAATAAGTTAAAGTGAAGTCATGTGTGTGGCCCCTCACTCAATATGATGTGTGCTTATAAAAAGGGGAAATTTGAGCACAGAGACACGCACAGAGGAAAGATAATGTGAAGAGACACAGGAAGAAGATGCTCATTTACAAGCCAAGGAGAGAGGCCTAGAACGGATCCTTTCCTCCCAGCCCTCAGAAGGAACCAGCCTGGCCGACACCTTGATTTCACACTTCCAGCCCCAGAACTGTGGGACAGTAAATGTTTGCTGTTTTAAGCAACTCAGTTTGTGGTACTTTGTTATGATGGTCTTAGCAAACAAATACAGATGCAAAGAAGCGTTGAGTCAACATTTGATGGGGAACAGGATATTTACAGAATCTCAAAGTACCTCGTAACACAGGTTGCTTATTAATTACAAATGGAAAACTAGTAATTTTACATTGTGGAAATTTGGCAGGTTTTCACCTTCACCGAGTGATCAAGCAAGGGGACAAATTGGTCATGTGTTCCCCCGATGTGATGTGCCAAGATAGACACGTCACTCAGGCCGCCCCAAATTCATAATCTGAACCGAATCATGGGGAAACCTCAGACAAACCGAGACTGAGGGGGCATTCTGAAAACCAGCTGGCCTCTACTCATCAACAATGTCCATCATAAAAGACAAGGCAAAGCTGAAGACTCCTTCCAGGTTAAGAATAAGAGACGTGATAGCTAAATGCAGGCAGAGGGCTCTGGACTACATGCTAGGTCGGAAGGATAATTGCCAATAAAAGACATTATTGTGATAGTGGGCAAAGTTTGTATGCTGGCTCTCTATTAGATAATAGTATTATGTTAGTGTTAAATTTCCTGAATATAAAATCATACTGTGGTAACACAGGAGAATGCTGTACTCTCGGGAGATACACGCTGGAGGGTTTAAAATGAAAGGGGTATAATTTCCACAACTTGCTCTACAACAGCTCAGTAATAATCAAGAATAACAATAAATATACAGACGTATAAACAAAAAGAGAAAAGGTAAATGTGACAACTTTTTCATATCTGGTAAATCTAAATGAAGAGTATAAAATTTTTCAAAACAAATGCAACTTTCCGTAAGTTTGAATTTTTTTTTTTATTTCAAAATAAACCATGTGAAAAACAATTCCTCACATTGTATTTGTTCTGTGTAGCGTCACATTGGTGCCCTAACCTCCACTGAAGGTGTCCCCACAATAGACCACTCATTCTCACTCTTGTCAAAACAGTCCTCAGAGAAAGAAATACATGTTATATATTTACATCTGGTTCAGAAAATGACCACCACCTTTAGGACTGAAATACTGTCAGGTTTATTCTGTCCCATAATAAAACAAACTAAGAATGAGCACTCTCTTTCTGCTTATTTTGTACTACAATTCTACCTCCAGGTTATGGGAATCTAAACCAGATACACAGATTTTGAGACTCAGAGAAAGAACAAAGTTGCATGCCGTCCCACAGGTGTCTCCTTTCAGTATGTGCAGAATTTAATGGTGGATGTTGCACTGCTCATTCTTTAAATCATTCTCAAACGCTGTCTCCTTCGGAGTGCATTCTCGGGTCCCAGGTTAGATTGAGATTCAGCTTTCTGCACTGCCCAGTGCCCTCCTGATGATTCTAAGTACTGACCACTTGAAACTCTAATAATTGGCTTATTTTTCTGATTCTCTTTTAGACAACATGCTTCTTGTTGGCAGACATAGGGTTGTAATTTATCTTTATCCAGTGTCCAGTATGGGTCAAGCGACTAATCATCCAAATTTGCCACAACTTAGGGGATTCCCAGGGTGACGAGTTTTCAGCATTAAAATGGGAATGTCCCAGGTAAACTAGGATGAGTTGGTCACACAGGTCTAAGCACACAGTAGGTGCTCAATAAATGTTGGTGAAGATAATGGATTGAATTGTCCCGTTCTATTACAAGGTCATAGACTATGGTTAACACAAATTAGCTGGGGTCACAATACTGTGTGTTCATCCTCCCAAAAGGGGTGGGAGAAAACTGTGGGATTGTATTTGGCTAAGTGAGGAGCCCATCACCGGGATGTGGGTTTCCTCTCATTGTTCACCCCAGCACATTTATAATCAGAGTATGTTCCCTCTGGCATTTCGGTAGCTGTGCATTTTCATTGTGCAATTGAAGGAGATAACATCAAAGGAGCAGTGGGAAATGTAAATGCTGTTTTAACGTTCTGCACGGAAACACTGGCTAATTCACCTGCAGACGGTGACGGTGAGGCAGACGGCTGAAAAAATGGACCCTCTTAGCCAACGGAAAAGAACACACCTTTGATTCATTTATATCTGAATGATTGCAGTTTATTTTTCAGTATTAGGAAGGCCTTTCAATTTGCACATAATTTAGAAATATTTTTCTCATTTTTTTAATTGATATTTCTGAATAATATATGTAACTGCTCTGCTGTAGCTCCAGACATGAAGTGTGTTTTTTTTTTTTTTCCTGGAAACTTAAGTGTACACAACTGTGAATTAAGCCTTCTCTTAACAAGCACTGTTAGTACAAATATATTACTGACAATGACAGTGAGCCCTAATTCATTAATAACACACCAGATGGGAACAAAGACTTGGGATAACATACAAAATTTGTAACAATTTCCTTTCTCTGATTCCTGAATGAGCTATTCTAGGAAAAATGAACTCTTACCAATACTTGTGAATGGTATTTACCATCGCTCCAATATTGTTTTAGTAATGCTGTGATATTAGTAATCCCAGTAACATTTAAGTATTACTTTTTTCATCTGTGCTATTTGATAGATTCTGGAAGTTAAACAACAACTCCTGTTATGTCTCTGGAATCCGATCCAAACATATACTGTTGGGGTCCATAGGGAAAACATGAGCCCTCTTTTAGGATTTATCTGGAGTTGATTCTGAGTTCTGATAATTGCAACTCCTGATGTCAGTAGAGACAAACACTCCTAGTTTAAGACCTGTCAAAAGGCCCATGAACACTTGACTCTATTAGGAAGAGAGGGCGCCCTTCTCATACCTACCATTACAGTACTGTAAAATTAGGCTAAAGAGGGAGGAAGGTGACAAGGTGGAATGATTGCTAAAAACAAAGAGATTAGCAAAGTCAATGAGCAGAAAGAACTATCTAAGTACTCTTCTATGACTAATTTACCTAAGAAGTAATCTTGCTCCAAATATTTCACCTGAATCCCATCAGGTTTCTGACTTAAAAAAATCAGTTTACAGGAAATACTGGCAATAGAGGAAAAAACTAAGTAACACCAGAAATAATCAGACACATCTAGGGATGAGATATTATATAAGACAACTGGCCTTTAATGCTTCAAAAGAGGGCAGGTGAAAGAAGAAATCAAGAAAGTAAGCAAGCAAGAAACAAAGAAAGAGAGAAAGAAAGAGAAGAAAAAAAGAGGCAGGGAGGAAGGAAGGAAGGAACGAAGGAAGGAAGGAGGAAAGAAGGAAGGAAAGAAGGAAGGAAAAGGAAGGAAGGAAGAGAAACTGACCCCTGGATTTGGAGGTAGGGACCCCGCTGTAAGTAAGAGCTTTGATAATTTTGAATGTAGAATAAATAGTAGTTGATACTACTGACTAACTGCTAATTTTCTTAAGTGTGATCATGATGTCATGGCTGTATAGGAGACTGTGCTTGCTTTTAGGAGATTCACGCTGAGATACTTAAGGATAATGTGTCACTGCATCTTTTACTTACTTGAAAATAGCAAAATAGTCAACCATTATTCAATCTGTATGAGGGTTATATGGATGTTCATTTTACTATTTTTTTCCCCACCATTTCAATATTGAAAAAGTTACAAATAATGAAAAGTTGGGAAAGAGATAAGACTTTGTTGTTAGGGCACATGGCTTTTAAGAGCCTTCCTGGGTTCAGCAGAGAGCAGTATTTGACTCTAAGAAATAGGGATTAACTGTGAGCTTTCAGTGAGCTGAGGCCCTCAGACGCATTCGATCTTCACAACTCTGACGGTGCTAAAATAGTATCATTATGCCCTTATACAAAAAGGAAACAGGCCTTAGAAGGGCTAAAAAAGTTGCCACACATCTAGTTAATGATGGAGATGAGATTCAAATTCAAATGCAGATTCTGGAATCATTACTCTT